CAGCACAGCCTCGTCCAGGTCGAACGTGAGGGAGTCGCACGGGGGCCCGTGCCGCACGGCCGCAACAGGCCCATGACCGTCACCTGGTAGCTCTCCAGCAAAATCGTCGGCTGCGGGATCCCCATCAATCACGGACAGGGGCGCCGCAAGCTCCACGTCCACCGGAGGCAGGCCAGAGCCCTGTTCGCTGGCCGCAGGCTGGTCGGCCAGCAGGTCGTCTAGCACGAGCGGTGAGCCAATCTGGCCTGCACCCGCTGCTGTTGCTGCGCCAGGACCCGCCGCCGCATCTGTGGGGGCTGCAGGCTGGCGCCGCAGGACATCTTCAATCGAGCACCGTCACCAAGCGAGGCCTCCAGGGAGGCGCTCCAGCACGCCGCCTCCTCAGCGAGGACACGCAGACCACGCCACAGGGCCGCGTCGGACTCGCCGATGCCGTGCCTGGCCGCTCCCCGCTTTGCCAGCTCGTCCGCGTGGTCGTTGGCCCGCCTCTCCCAGTGCGTGCTGCGGCCGGCGTCCACGTCGGCAGTGGTCGCGTGCCCGAGCGTCTTGTGGGCCTCGAAATCGGCCCCGCCGAACGCCGCCCAGAAGGGCCCCCACAGGTGAGGCCTCATATCCGAGCCGCGGGCCCCCTCCCCTGGGCCGCCCGCCAGCACCCGCAGCGTGTTGGCGCAGTCCAGGTAGAGCTGGAAAGGTGCCATGGCCACCATCGTGAGCATGAACGCCGCGTAGTCCTCGGCGTCGGGGGCTGTCTGGCCAGGCGCCGCAGAGGTGGGCACGGGCCCGAACGCTGCCGCCTCCAGGCGCCCGAAGCGGTCGACCTGGACCACTGCCCATCCAGCGTGTTCCAGCCCAGGTAGGCGGCCCATAAACGAGCTGCCATCCAGGAAGAGGCAACCGGACAGCCTCCCGGAACTGGGGGAGGAGGAGGAGGAGGAGGAGGAGGAGGAGGAGGCGGAGCATATCCTAGCCGCGGATGCCCGGAGTCGCGTTGACCATGGCGAATGCAGCGATCTTTTGGTCTGAACCGATCACTTTCGTTGGGCCTGTAATTGACCTTGATGGGAATGGCGGGGCAAGCATGGAGCTTCGAATCCAGCAGGCTTACTGCCGCTTGACATGTGTCCTTCAGCGCCGACACGCCCACCGAATGAGGAGACGAGCTTTGGGCTCGCAAATCATGATGGCATCTGCTCTGTGGATTGCTGAAACAAAGATTCGAAACAGAGACAACAGCGGAAGTGCAACAGTTGGGCAGCAAAGCGCATGTCAGATATTGCCCTGATTCGCCCACGCGGGGTTCTGGCCACGCCCTGATGAAAGACACCGGTGGCTCTGCAGAGCACAGGAGACGCGTGCGTCTACATCGCTTTGCTGGACATCTCGCGCGCATGGGCGGCATCAGCGCAGATACGGTGCGCACCCGGTGTCTCGCGTGGTGGAGCCACGGGCAGAGACGGCACCATGACAAAAGGTGCGGGGTCCACCCGACACGTCTCAATGTCTGGAGATGGGAGGCCTAATTGACATCTGTTTGCGGCGAAGTCGAATGTGAAGACCCAGTCCGTACCGCAGCCGGCTGGATGCAGCGGGCCCAAAATTGAGCTCGCTGGAAGCAGGCAGAGAGCGCTTTCGCAGCAGCGTAGAACTTTGAGCGTCACCGTTCCGTGTGCCTCCTCTCTTGCCTTCCTTTCTTTGCTTCGCTGTTGGCTCTCGGCTCCTCCTCCCTCCTTCCCTCTCCGTGACCTCCCCCCTTTACCTTGTGTGCCTTTGCCCTTGCGTGGTGCGTGTCCACCCTCTCTCTCACTGCTTGGTTTTCTCCCCCCTGTTCCCCATCTCCAGTTCTGTCGGCCCGGTCTGTCTTTTCTGTCGTCCGTTCCCTGCCCCCCTCCTTTCCTCGGCTCCTCTGCTTCTCGCTCCCCCGCTTTTCCGCTTCGCTTGCTTGTCCCCTTTTTTTGTCAGCCTGGTCCGAACAAGAGACACGCGCTCGAGGCTGCTGCGCCGGCAGATCGCCGGGCATGTCACCCGAAATTCTGTGAGATGTTTGTGCTTTTCCGTGGTGGCCCCAATTGACCGGGCTTTCATAGCACCGGAACAATACAGGAGGAGGAGGAGGAGGAGGAGGAGGAGGAGGAGGAGGAGGAGGAGGAGGAGGAAGAGGAGGAGGAGGAGGAGGAGGAGGAGAGGACAAGGAGGAAAGGAGGAGACGGAGGAGGAGGAGGAGGAGGAGGGGAGGAGGAGGAGGAGGGAGGAGGAGGAGGAGGAGGAGGAGGAGGAAGGGGGGAACGCGGAGGAGGAGGAGGAGGAGGAGGAGGAACAAGAGGAGAGAAGGAGGAGGAGGAGGAGGAGACGGAGGATAAGAACGAAAAGGGAGGAGGAGAGGCGGAGGGAGGCGGGAAGAGGAGGATAATGAAGGGGAGGAGGAGGAGGAGGAGGAGGAGGAGGAGGAGGAGGAGGAGGAAGAGGAGGAGGAGGAGGAGAGGAAGGAGGAGGAGGAGGAGGAGGAGGAGGAGGAGGAGGAGGAGGAGGAGGGGAGGAGGAAGAGGACAAGGAGGAAAAGGAGGAGGAGATGGAGGAGGAGGAGGAGGAGGAGGAGGAAGAGGACAAGGAGGAAAAGGAGGAGGAGGAGGAAGCGGAGGAGGAGGAGGAGAGGAGGAGGAGGAGGAGGAGGAGGAGGAGGAGGAGGAGGAGGAGGAGGAGGAAGGGGGGAGCGGGGAGGAGGAGGAGGAGGAGGAGGAGGAGGAGGAGGAGGAGGAGGAGGAGGAGAAGAAGAAGAAGCAAGCCGCGCAACGCGGTTCGGGCGCCCGCCCAGCCCCCGCCTCAGCGGGGCATCATGATGAAGTAGCTCTTCAGGCTGAAGCGTCGACGCCAAGAGAGTTCTCAGAGTCTGCGGCCTCCGTTTCGCGCCGCGGCCCGTCCCAGTTTCACCTCTGAGCCCTGGCCGCGGCGCTGGCCTCGCCGCAGCCCGTCCCCGTTCCACCTCGGGGCCCTGGCCGCAGGTCATTAGCTGGTCCTCGTCGCCTCGCCGCAGCCCGTCCCCGTTTCACCTCGGGGCCCTGGCCGCGGTTCATTGGCTGCTCCGTCCGCTGGTCGTGCTCCAGCTTCTTGGCCTTCAGCAGGTCGTACTGCTGCTGTAGCTCCTGCTCCTCCGCCGTCAGCTGGTCGAGCTCCAGCTCCTTGGCACGCAGCAGGTCGTGCTGCTGCTGTAGCTTCTGCTCCTCCAGCTCGTCGGGCTCCCCCTCCAGGCCGTCGCTGTCCTGGGTGTCGAGCCGCGCGGAGTGGGAGAGCAGCACCCCGCCTTCTGGGAGCCGCCTGGTTCCGCCGACGATGCTGTCGCCGCCGACGGCCGCCTTTCCGTCGAGCTCGGCCACGTGGAGCGCCCACTCGGCCGCCGCCACCGCCATGGCCTGGTTGAGGATCGCGTCGTCGTCCTCGGTGCCGCCATCCCGCGAGCCGCGATGGCCCAGGCGGCTCTCGGCTTTGCCTTTGACCTCCATGCCGCCTTCGCCGCCGCTGGCGCAGCCGTCGGCATCGTGGGAGTCCTCGTCGTCGACGGTGGAGAGGGCGGCGTACCTCCCGCTCCGGATCTTCGCGCCGTCGATGTCCTTCACCTTGGTGGCCTCGCTGGAGAGCGCCATGTTGATCTGCTCGGATGATACAGCTGTGCCGAACAGTCCTGCGCACGGAGGCTGCGGCGCAGAGCCCACGCCATGGACCTTCTCGCCGACGTGATCGGAGCTGTCACGCTGCTGGTCCGCCGCTGCCTGCACGAGCCGCTCGGCAGCTTGCTCATGCTCCGGAGCTTGCTGCGCCGAGCCCTTGTCCGCGGCCGCGCCCGCCGCGTACTCCGCGACACACGTGGGGCCAGCCGCCGCGCCGTCCGCCTGCCCGCAGCCCGGGTGCTGCGCCGGAGCGGATAGGAGGGGGGAGTCCAGCGGCACCACGAACTGCGCCGCGCCGACGTCCGCCCAGGTGTGGAGCACGACGACGATCACCGGCGTGCCCCACCTCGCCAGGCCGCACGAACACCACCAGCCGCCGGCCGGCAGGTCCATCGCGCGCGGCCCGGCCGGCGCTAGTCTCAGCACGAGCAGGGCTCGCGCCGAAACTGGAGGAGGAGGAGGAGGAAGAGGAAGAAAAGGAGGAGGAGGGGGAGACGGAGGATAAGAACGAAAAGGAGGAGGAGGAGAAGGCGGAGGAGGCGGGAAGAGGAGGATAATGAAGGGGAGGAGGAGGAGGAGGAGGAGGAGGAGGAGGAGGAGGAGGAGGAGGAGGAGGAGGAGGAGGAGCGCCTGAAAGTTCTGCCTTCCCCGACCGGCCCCCCTCCCCGACCAACCCCTACGTATCCGCCTTTCAAGAAAGTTGCGGTTTCTGCCCGGAGGTCCTTGCGGGCGACGTGCTCGCACCGCGATGGTGCACGCGTCCGACGACGCGTATCTGTTCAATGCGCGGGCTCTGGGGTCCCAGCCCGGGTGGTGGTTCATCCCCGATCCGCGTTTGATGGTCCCCCCCCACGAGGCCGACATCGAGGCAAATCGCCAAATCGTCGGCGAAGGGGGGGGAGACAAGACAGGCCTACTCAGAAGGCGGCGGGGCCTTTCAGAAGGCCGCGCGCCTTCTGAGAAGCCTGGCAAGCTTCCTCCCAAGTCGCAGGCGGCTTCTCAGAAGCCGCCATGTGAGAAACCTCGCCGCCTTTTGAGAAGGCCTGCCCCCTACTCCCCCCTCGGTTCGCCGCCGAGTTTGGTTTTCGGACGCCCTTGGAACGCTCTCGGCGAGGCGCAGCCGGTGGAACGCATCCCGTGGCTGGAAAACTGCCGAGAAGCTACGACAACGCCCGAATGAACCCGAAAACCTCCTTCGCTCGCCGCCGAGCAATCACGTCGTCGGAGATCTGGGCGCGGCTCCGGGGCCGAGACCCGAGCGCGGCAGCGCGCACCCAGCCCCGAGCCGGCAGCACCCCGGTGCGCCCCGGCTGCACCGCGCGTGCTGCTTCCGCGGCGGCCATGAGCTCGGGCGCCGCCGCGCCCGAAGAGGACTCCTCCGAGGCCTGGTCGCCGTCGTCGTCGTCGTCGTCGCCGTGGTCGTCGTCAGCGTCGTCGTCGCCGCCATCGTCGTCGTCGTCGTTTTCATCGTCGTCGTCGCCGTCGCCGCCGTCGTCGCCGTCGTTATCGTCGTCGTCGTCGTCGCCGTCGCCGTCGCCGTTGCCGCCGTCGTCGTGTTTTTCAGGCCTCGGCCCCCGCGGACCAGCCGCCGCTGGAGCAGCCGGCGGCCGAGGCCGCCGCGTCTGGAGGCCTCGGCCCCTGGTGGGCGCCGGCCGCCGCCGCCTCGCAGGAGCTGAATGCGAGATGTGTTTTCGCGTTCGCCCTGGGCGCTCAGCTCGCCCAGTCTGAACTTCAGAGGAGGAAAGGCTACTGATACCGCTGTCCGTCCTTCGTCGCCATGACTTGATTCGCCTCGAATCCTGGGTTAGAATGTTCCCCAGGAGAGGCTCGTGGAGTAGCTGTATAGGTACGTTTTCGTCCTCCCACTCTGGGGCCCTCGCGGGTCGGTTCGGCTCAGGAGAAGCGCCGCAGAAAGCTGGCGTCGAGGGCTCTGGTCGCGATTTTCTTTCATTGTGTGGCTTTGTCGCGCCATCGGGTCGGGCATTCCTCGGGCATGCTGGCTTCAATTCTTGCTGTATGGTTGAGCATAGTAGAAACCTCCTCCCGAAAAGCTGGGCCAGCGTTTCATAACCATTTTGCAGGAGATCTGGCCGAGCTTCTTAAGCACAGCCGCCTCTACAGCGTTGACACCAGGAGATGTCCCAGGCTTTGTTGAAGAAGTGTCCAGGAAGATGGCCCAGACTCCTTAGATCATAGTTTTCTTTGATCCTATTGTCTGCTCTATTTTCATAGATTTTTGGGTGTGGAGGGGCTGCCGTCGGGACCCCGAGGGCCATCCAACATGGAGCCAGGACGAGATGGCAACCGCTGGTTTCGCCCGGAACTGGTTTCGCCCGGCTGGTTTCGTCCGGCTGGTTTCGCCTGGTGCTGGTTTCGCCCGGGCTGGTTTCGCCCGGGCTGGTTTCGCCCGGCTGGTTTCGCCCGGCTGCTGGAGGAGGTGCAGGAGGAGGAGGAGGAGGAGGAGGAGGAGGAGGAGGAGGAGGAGGAGGAGGAGGAGGAGGAGGAGGAGGAGGAGGATAGGAGGAGGAGGAGGAGGGAGGAGGAGGAGGAGGAGGAGGAGGAGGAGGAGGAGGAGGAGGAGGAGGAGGAGGAGAGGAGGAGGAGGAGGAGGAGGAGGAGGAGGAGGAGGAGGAGGAGGAGGAGGAGGAGGAGGAGGAGGAGGAGAGGAGGAGGAGGAGGGAGGAGGAGGAGGAGGAGGAGGAGGAGGAGGAGGAGGAGGACCCGGCCGCCCGACCCGGCCCGCTTGTTAGGGTCCGCCCGCCCGCCCGATCCGACCCGCCCGTTAGGGTACGCCCGACCCGACCCGACCCGCCCGTTAGGGTTCTCGCGTGCCCTCTCGATCATATGCACCACACTTTAACGTCCCGCCCGCCCAAGCCGACCCGCCCGTTAGGTCCGCCCGACCCGACCCGACCCGACCCGCCCGTTCGGGTCCGCCCGACCCGACCCGACCCGCCCGTTAGGGCTCTCGCGTGCCCACTCGATTATGCGCCACACTTTAATGTCCCGCGCAACCAGCGCCGGCGAAACCAGCGTCGGGCGAAACCAGCGCTGGCGAAACCAGCGTCGGGCGAAACCAGCCGGGGCGAAACCAGCCCCGGCGAAACCAGCCGGGCGAAGCCAGCCCGTGCCGACGAGATACTTTGGCGGCGAGCAGAGGGGGGTAGGGGGAGGGGGGAAGGCTTCTTAGAAGGAGGCTGCTTCTTAGAAGGCGCCGGCCTTACATCTACAGAGAAGGCCCGCACCTTCTAAGAAGCAGGGGTGCTTCGAAGAAGCCTTCCCCCCTCCCCCTCCCCCCCACTGCGCGCCGCCAAATGCTGCCCCCCACCCCCCCCCCGGGTGTCGAGGCCTCTGGGCGCCCGCGGGTGGAGCACAGAGCGATCCGTCGGTTAGGGCTGGTTGCCGGCGCTGCTGCTCCCCTGGGCCGACCTCTCTCCCGGGGCCTCGTGAGGACCGGCCAGGGCCCCGAGGCTGCTCAAGCCGCCGCGACGGCCCCCACCCCCCGCAGCAGGCCCCCCAGAGGCGACGACGCGGGAGGGGCGCTCGCCCATAGCCCCACCAGCGCAACACATTTTCACCGCGTGGGCCCCCTCTCGGGGTATCGACCCGCTCCACGGCGCCTTTTTTTTTCACCCCGAGTTGTTTTCTGACGGCCCACCATGGGATGGGCTCCATGGCCAGAGGCCTTCCGCCGACATGGTGCTTTCGCGACGCGGGGGTGTCTGGGAGGACGGCAGGGTCTCCCCGCGCTGACGCGGCGGGGACCCACAGCGCAGGCGTTGGAGGCTGAAGGCCGCCAGTGGCCCAGAGTCGGTCGATGTTTTTGCGCTACCGGAAAGCCTCGATCGCCCCTGTGCGAGAGTCCAACGCCACAGGCATCCGATGGCATGTGCTGCTCAATGTGCAGCCCATGCGCAGCCCGAAGGAAATTCAAGACCCGATCCTTCCCAGGGGGCAGGTTTTTGTCCCGCATCCGTTGCTGATGACCCCGGGGCCCGGAAACGAGAACGCGCCAGGTTAAACAAACAGAAGACTGCCTCAGACCTGGGGCACACCGCCACGACAGGGACCAATTGTATCGGTAAAGTCGGCACGTCAGATAAGACATCGGGGTTGCCCCACAGAAGTTGTTTATCCGTCGATGGTCCTGTGGGCTCGCAGAGGCCCTGGGGCACATCAGGGAGCTCAGAGCTCGACGACAAACGTGCCCCTGTATGAAATCCCTTTTGGCACGATCTCTTCTCGTGTGTGTGTGTGTGTCTACTGTATTGTTCTCTTCTCCGTCGATCTCACGTTGCCAGAACATGCAACATAGCAAAACAAATCACCACCTGAGCCTGGGACCCCATCGTTCTGCGCCGTCTTTTCGAGCTGGACCGATCCTTGCGAGGGCCCCGAGGCTCCGATCCGGGCGAAACCGCCCGCTGCGAAAAAATTGGAACGCCAGGATCTCAGGTCCGAGGCGGGGTTCATCCACAACCACTGCCTGGGGGATCGGTCTTCGCGGACCTTGTTGCAGGCAGTGGATACGGATGTGCTCTCGGGCCCCCGGGGGCCAAAACATGTCCATCTGAGGCACCAGGGCGTCGGTTCCCAGGCGGTGGATCTTGCTACATCCCCGCCCCGCACCCGGGCTTCCTCCGAGGAGCCCGCCGCCCCACCCGCGGGCGCGGCGGCCGCTGTCCCCAGCGGCCCGCCGGACGAACCGCCCGCGGACGCCCTGCCGGCGGCGGCCGACGGCCCGCCGCCGCCGGCGGCGGCCGACGGCCCGCCCTCCGCGGAGGCGGCCGACGGCCCGCTCTCCGCGGAGGGCGCGGCGGCGCTGCGCACGGCCGCTGCGGCTGCGCCCCCAGAGGCCGCCGCGGCCGTCCGCGGGGCCGCGCCGCATGCGGCCGGCGGGGCCGCTGCGGGCGGGGCGCCGCCCGCTGCGGGGGCGGCCGGGGCTCGGGACTCCTCCGAGGCCTCATCGCCGTCGCCGTCGTCGCCGTCGCCGTCGCCGTCGCCGTCGCCAGTTGGGTGTGGCAGTTGGGTGGGTTTTTTTCCAACAGTTTTTCTTGCGTTTTTCTCGTATGTTTGCTGTTCTTGTTGGAGGTGTTTTTTCGGGCACAAAATACAACTCGGACGTTTTTCAATCGTTTTATGATTTTTTATCGTGACTGGACAACCCCCGATCAAAAACATCCAACTCTTGTTTTTCGATGGTTCTTTTTCGGGGGTTCTGGGGACCCACAGCTCAAACAACAATTCTATGTTTGGAAACCTTCCGGATTCCGCCCATCTCGGTGTTTTTTCTTGTGTTTTTTTTTTTTTTGCGTTTCTCTCAGGGGTTCTCTGGCCAGCCCAGGCTCCAGGATTCTCCGGTTGGGAAACACCCGAACAAAAAAAACGTTGGCGGTTTTGTTCGACGCATGGTCGTATCCAAGTGCGCTTTCGCGCGGTTTCTCCGCCGACGCTGGGCCGGCGCGTAGCGCTGTGGCCGTCGGGGATACCGCTCTGCAGCCTTGTCGGGGCAACGCTTGTGCTTGACATGTGTGGAGCAAAGTGCGCATGCTGTCGTCGATGCGGGGACATGCCGTCGCTGGCTGGTGAGAGGGAGCTCGCGGCAGAAGGGGCCGCGCGCAGGTGTATCGGCCGTTGCAACGGCAGAGGCGGACCACCTGCGCGAGCGGGATACGCGGCTGCGCAGGCACGTGCACTCTAAGAGGTGCTCAGGTATGAGCGTGGTCTCCGGCGTCGTTGGTCGCCGAGATGCGTGCGCGCGGCCTGCTGAGTGCCCCTGCCACGTGACCGCGTTGCGCCAGCTTTCCGGAATATCCAGCTGCCTGCGGCAAGTCCCGCCGCCGTGCCAGCCCCGCACTGTGTGTGGCGACTGTGCGAATGGTGATGGTCACGACGACGGTGGGAATAACGATGATGATGCTGATGATGATGGTGATGGTGCTGATGATAATGATGACGTTGGTGAAATGATGATGATGAGATCAGGATGATGGTGGTGGTGATGATGATGGTGATGATGATGATGATGCTGCTGCTGCTGATGATGATGATGATGATGCCGATGACGATAGCGTTGGCCACGGCGAAGACGATGGCGAAAATGATGATGATGGTGATGGCGTTGGTGAAATGCTGCTGCTGCTGATGATGATGATGACGAGATGACGGTGATGATGATGTTGATGATGATGATGATGATGATGATGGTGATGATGATGATGATGATGATGATGCTGATGCTGATGCTGATGATGATTATGGTGGTAGTGGTGGTGGTGGTGTTGATGATGATGGTGATGACGAGTATGATGATGATGCGGATGCGGATGCGGATGGGGATGCTAGTTATGATGATGATGATGATGATGATGATGATGATGGTGGTGGTGGTGATGATGATGATGATGATGATGACGATGATGATGATGATGATGATGATGATGATGATGATGATGATGGTGATGATGATGATGCTGAGGAGGAGGAGGAAGAGGAGGAGGAGGAGGAGGAGGAGGAGGACGGGAGGAAGAGGAAGAGCCAGGCTATGACCTCAGGTGCTTTATGTTTGAAACTTGCGTTTCTCGTGGAGCTAACTTCGGCCGTCTTAGGGGTGTCCAGGGCACCTGTGGGGCCGTCTTGGGGGCCCTTTCGGGCACTTGGGCTGTCTTGTGCCTTTTTTGCCGTCAGGGGTGTCTCTTGGGGCTGTCTCGGAGTCGTCGAGCGGCCTTGCCACGTGGACTTGTGTCCCTCCAGAAGCCCTCTTGGGCCAGCCTGAGGTTCTCTTGGGGCCGTCCGGGGCCGTCTACGGGCCCTGGTGGGCCCTCTTGAGGCCGGCATGGCCGCTCCTCGGTTCATCTTGGAGTTCTATTGGGCCGTCTGGGCTTGATCGTGGAGGTTCCTTGGGCTGTCTTGAGCTGGCGGGGGCCCAGAAGCGTGAGAAACCAACAATGAGCTAAAAAACCTAAGGAACACCATTGGATGTCGCCTCCGCGGGCTCTCCAGAGGCTCCTTTTGGAGCTTCCTTTAGCCGTTTTAGGGGGCGTTTGGAGCCATCTTGAGGCCATGTTAGGCCGTCGTTGGGCTACCTTGACCTCTCTTGAAACTGTGTTGGGTTGTCTTGAAGGCATGTTGGGCCCCGTTGGGCGCCTGGACCCTGGACAGCTTTCCTGGGCCGTTTTCCAAGCCTCGGCGAGCTTCAGACAGGCGTAATTTGCCGCTCAGGGGCGCCCAGGGGAGTTGTGGCGCACGCGGGGGGATGCGTCGAGGGGGGGGATCTTAGAAGACGTTGGGAACCCTGCCAGACAGCACCTGGCATTCTTCCACGCCTCCACGTGCAAAGGGGCACGGTGGCGGATTCAGCTGCATCTCTACGAAGGCGCTCTGTTTAGTTTGGGGCGGCGCTGGCCTGCTGCGCAGGGTCTTTGCGTCGGCGAAGTAGCAATCGGCGTCTGCTCTCTGACTCCGGGTGAAGTTGTTATGAGTGCTCTCGCGGTTGCCAGGTGATTGCGCGCTTACGGGCCCAGGAGGGGATGAGAGAAGGCAGGCCCCTACCGAATGCGGCGAGGTTGTCCTAAGTCCCCTGGATGTCTGAGAAAAGTTGTCTGGCGGAGAAAATTCCGAAATATCAGAGCGCTTCGGAGGTTTCTGATAGGTGTGAGGTGGCCTGCCTTCCGCCCCCCCCCGTGGCCCGCCGTCAATAGAAGTCGTTTGCTTGCGGTGATGTTTTTTCGCGACGTTCCCGGGGCACGCGTCTCCTGCGAGGTGTCCAGCACGTTGTTGACGCCGCGGCGTCACTCTGGCCCTGTCCTCATCCTCTCCTCACTTGTTTCTCTCTGGCCCTTCCCCAGCTCTCCCTTCCCGAGCGCGCCGCTGCTTGCGGGCAGAATTTGGCGCCCGCGCTTAGTGCGGCCCATGGTAGTTCACGGCCCTTGGAGTTGGTATGGCGGGTGGCCTAGAGACGATTTTTTGCGTTTCGGGCAAGCGGAGACACGGCCGCTGCCGGTCTGGGGGAAAACCTTCATGAGAACCAAGAAAAAACATACATACCATAGACAAAACACCCGATAGGGGGGTTCCTGGGGGGGTTCACCAGGTTAGCCCGAATTGCGATTTGAGGGGTTTTGCGCGACCGTTCCCGGGAACCCTCCGACCACCCCCCCAATGGTTTTTTTGTTTTTGTGCTTTTTCATTTAGAGGGCCCTCCAACTCGGGTTTTTTCGGGGGGTCGTAGGGGGGTTCCAGAGAACTCCCACACCAGCCTCGCCGTCGTCGTCGCCGTCGCCGTCGCCGTCGCCGTCGCCGTCGCCGTCGCCGTCGCCGTCGCCGTCGCCGTCGCCGTCGCCGTCGTCGTCGTCGTCGTCGTCGTCGTCGTCGTCGTCGTCGTCGTCGTCGTCGTTGTCGCCATCCTCGTCGCCCGCTGGGGCGCAGGGGCCCGAGCGGCGGCGGCGGCCCTCCCCGTCGAGGTTCCCAGGTCTCCGAGGGCACGATTGTTTTTTTTCAAAGAGTTGTTTCCCGAGTTCGGCCTCTGGACCCCGTTTCCTGGCCCTCCCCCCATGGGCGCGAAGAGAACCGCGCTTCGCGCGTCGCGGTCTCGGCCAGAGCGGCTGCCCATGTCCAAGGGCGGGGGCGGCGCCCGGGCGCGAGGGCGCGAAGATAACTGCGCGTCGCGCATCGTGGGGCGTGATGCGCGAATTTCGCCGACCTGGGTCTGCGGGCCCCGGCGCCATCCCGCACAGACCCGGGGCGCAAAACTTGCCTTGGGGCAAGGGGGTCGGCACCTCCGGGGCCGCGCATTGGAAACATCGTATCGTCGGATGTCTGGATCCGAGGTTGCCGGACAGTTTTCGTACTTCGGGATGCGCTCCAGCAGCTGCGCCCGCCCACCCCCGTCTCGGTGTGAGAAAGTGTTCGGCCTCTAGAGGCCCTCGCGGGGCCCAGGGGCCGTAACAAAATCGGCGACATCACGATAAGAACCCAGTCCTGGGGAACAGGTCCAGACATCAGGGGGTCCACGTCGTGAGCAAAACTTCGACGTCCGAGTTCTGGGGGGGATTCGAGGTTTTCTAGCGTTTTCACCGGTCCTCGGCGGTTCTACAGCTTCGCGATGCGGTCCAGGACATGCGCCTCGCCGAGAGCGTTCCGGAGGTGTCGGGATCGTCCCGAACGGCCGCTGGAGACCCGAGCTATGACCCGACCTCCAGATACCTCTGGGCCTCCCGTAAGTGGGGGGGCGGTAACCGGGGGGGGGGGCAGCGAGAGCTGCGGAAAAGAGGCCCTGTGGAGCCCCTCGAGGGGGCCCTTCAAGGCCCCAAAGGGGGTGTTCAGGGTCCGAAGAGTGCACCTTTCTTCCCCCCTCCTTATCATCGCTCCCTACGAAGAGAGGCCCGTATCAGACGACCTGATTTAGTCTGCCTGGGAAACCTTTCCTCGACCTCGGGCCCTGGGGCTCTGTGAAGGGCCTGGTCGTCGGGCCGGTGCAATCAGAGGTAGGTCGCGGGCGAGCAGTTGTCCCTTGGGAAGGGGTCGGGGATTCCTTGAGGCCGCGCATTGGAACATGAGGCCGCGCATTGAGACATTCGCATCGTCAGATGTCTGGGGGTTCGTCGCCACGGCTGGACGCAGCTCGAATATCTGGTCGCGATAGACCCCCGTGGACAAGGTGTGAGTGGGTTGGATGTCGTTCGCAACGGAAGAGGTTGGGTCTTGAGGGTTAAGGGCGTTCTTAGCTTTCGCGCCGTTCGGGGACCCCGGAACCGTCAACAAAACGACTCGTTGTGGAAAGCCGTGCCCTGGAAAATCCAAGGGTTCAGGACACATTTGAGGGCTCTTGTCCCTCATGCCTATTGGGCCTGACCGCGTTTCGCGAGGCACATGTGCTCTACCCGTGGCAGGATGCGCCTACACCTGAATTGTCCATAGCAGCCACCCTGACATCGGACGATCTGATTTTTCAACGCGCGGCTCCAGAGGTCCCGACCCCTTTACCAGGGCAGGTTTGTTCGCCCCATATCCACGTTGGATGGTCCCGAAGCCAGTAAGTGGGTCCCAGAGACCGAAGTGCAGGACACACGCCAGAATTGTATCCAAAGGCCCCTTCCGCACTTGCTGGAGAAAGCTCTAAACAGTTATTCGAGCTGTTGGAGGCTTATATCATAGAACCCTGGCCGACAAGCTGTTTAGGGAATCGGATCGTTGGAGATCGGGGGTAACCGCGCGTCTAACTACAGGAGCGGGCCCAGGCAGCGGGGCAGGAGCACCTGATCGCCTCGCTGCGGCAGCGCCTGCGGAGGGGGCTGCAGGACTATTGGGGCGCCGCCACCGCCGCCGCCGCTTCTCCTCCTCCTCCTCCTGCTCCTCCTCCTCCTCCTCCTCCTCCTCCTCCTCCTCCTCCTCCTCCTCCTCCAGTCGACGTTGGCGACTGGGGAAGAGAGGGCCACACTTTGTTGCTTCATGCTGGGCTTGTCCGGCCGGATTTGCCTTATTGCCAGTGTGTTTCGCGCTCGGGCGCATTCGCCCGTATGTTTGCTCTCCCTCCATGCACCTTGCACTGTTTCTGTTTCACCCCTTCTCTCTTCTCGGACCTGCCTCTTCGGAGGCAGGCCAATTCATGTGTCATGCTCCCCCTCCACCTCATCCTCCTCCTCTTTCTCCTTGCTCTGGCGACAGCTGCCTCCCTCTGCGCCGCATCTCTGTAGGCCCGAGGCACCGAGCCGGTGAACCCGCGGCGAGTCGAGCGCCCTCTTTGACGTTCTCGGTTCGTTCCCGTCTTACTGAGACTCCTCCTCTTCTCGGGGGCGGCAAAGAGGGGGGTGATGACTAGAGGGGGGGGTGGAGATCATGACGTTGGTCATGATGTTTCCTTAGATTTCATGGCGCCTCTTATTTCATTACGTCCCTGGCCCTTCCCTTGGGCCGCGCACATGTCGCCAGCCATGATTTGCGCCCCCCCCGCTCTTGGACGCCCCCCTCTTGGCCGCCCCCGATCTTCCTCTTCCCCTGGAGAAATCCCCGTCGGCGGGTGCGCCTCATGGCGCCGCGGCCGCCCGGCGCGAGCCCCCACGGGGCCACGGACGCCCGAGGCGTCGAATTGCGCGCCAGTGGAGGGAGGCCCAGAGCTCACGCGCGCCGCGCCGGGGCCAGGGCCAGCGGCGGGGGGCGGTCGGATTCGGCAGCAAATTTTGGGAGCCTTGTACGGTTGGATCGAGGTATAACGTCGAGGTCGGTTCGGGGAGGGTGCCCTGATGCTCGTCGTGCTTGTTGGGTGGTAATGTGCATCTTTCGGAAGGGAGTGATCTTCTGGTTGGGGGTGTGCCAGCGGAGGGTCTCGTGTTCTTGAAGGATGTTCTCAGGTCTGGCCGCTTACCCTCGCAATTCCGTCTTCAGAGTGCACTAGCGCCGATTAGCGTTTGGTAGTCGGTGAGATAGCGCCAACTTAGCATCGGCTGGCGTCGACTCGCGTCCACTCGCGTCGAGTAGGGTCGGTCGACTGGCGTCCATGAGGGTCGACTAGCGACGACTCGCAAGGGCCAGCGAGTTGGTGTTACGGAGGCCTAGAGGCTGACACCAACACCAAGATCGGCGGTGCGCCTTCACCGAGGGAAGATGCTCCCGATCTCGGTGATGGTGGGAATGTTCGGAGTGGCCGAACTACATTACCACCAACACCAAGATCTGGGATCATCTCACCCCTGTGGACGCCACCCCCCGTGGTGGTGCTGGTGCCCATCTCCGGGCCTCCGATGCTGCTGGAGCCTCGCATGCGTTGCCGCCGAGGGCGGAGCCCCCCCCCCCGCCGCCCGAGGCGCCCCCGCCGCCAGGAGCGGCCCGTGGCGCTCCTCCTCTCGGAGCCTCGGGCCGCGCGCGGAGGCCGGGCCCTCCTCGACGCCGTCGTCGGGCGAGGCATATATCGCGGAGCAGCGCTCAGCCTCCGCAGCGGCCACCCCCCCCCGCGCGCTCTCTTGTCGACGGCGAGCGAGGGGGGGGGGGGAAGTGAGAAGGAGAAGGCCTTCTCAGAGGGCGGCGGGACCTCTCCTAAGCCCTCGCCTCTTCGGAGCGGTTTTCCGTGTCTTCGGGGAAGGCTTAGAATTCCCAGAAGGCCGGGGGACTTTCGAGCCTTCTGAGAAGGCCCGCCCCTTCTCACTTCCCCCCGGGCTCGCCGCCGATCTTGGCATCGCTCGGACGTGTGCATCTTTTCTCGGCGAGGGCCATGAATGGGCATCTGGGATCATCTCACGGAAAGGAGTGTACGCGCGAAACCGAACAAATGCACACTGAGTGGACGTCCGAGCGATGGCAAGATCCGGGGATCACGGAGAGGGCGCTCTCAGGCAAGCCTCGGTGTAGCAGCGGCCTTGCGTACATGTCATACGCAGGGGCCGCTCGAAGATGTGCCAGCGCAGGCGTTGCCTCCTGTCGGCGTAAGCGTCCCCGAAGCGCCTGTTCATTTACTCGTTCATCATCTTGCCCCTTCTCTCGTTCTCCCTGTAGGGTCAAGAGCCAGGCGATTGGACTGAGCTTGTTTTTGGCGAATGCGAGATTGGCAAGCAGCGGCGCTGGGCCCTGCATCTCGAGATCGCGGACTCTTTTGGGCACACTCGACCTCCGTCTCCTCCTCCTCCTCCTCCTCCTCCTCGATCCCCGTTCCTGGGCCCCTGCCGCCTACCCCCTGACCCCTGACCTCCTCCTCCTCGTAGCTTCTCTTCCGTATCCATGTTGCCTTGAGTTCAACACCTGACACCATGTGGCCTTCTGATTGGACGCAGCCGGCAGGGACGGCTCCAGCGCCTGTTTTCGTTGCCACGTCGTCCCTGCTCACGAGCTGCATGAAACGACCACCCGCAGGGCTCCGCGATTCCTCTAGACACGTGTTGTCCCATCCTATATCGCGCGATGGAGGCTCAGTTGGCAAGCCTTCTCGCCGTGATGGAGACCATTGCTGGCGAGCTGGCCTCGGTCAAGCAACATCTTAACGGAAATCCGTACCACAGTCGGTACACACCAGCCGAGTTTCGAGACCGTGCAGGCACAGCTTGACGACGTTATGACAATGTTGCAGGGCGCGGTCATGGCGGCAAAGAACACGGGCATCAGCCGCCAGCTTGAGGATCGAGTATGTGTACTTACGTCCAGCTTGGCTCGCTCTGTCTCTCTCTGTCTCTCTCTCTCTCTCTCTCTTTATATATAGGCATCAGCGGTGTCTGAACACTGGAGCAAACTCTCACGGGTGGTTTTGTCAGCGGAGTCGGTTGGCCCGAAAATCCGCAGCAATTTGGTTGTGATCGTGCCAAGGCGCGCATCGGCAGATTTACTTGGACACTGTAAGCTGTTTCTAGGGATGCGGTCGGTCGCGGCTGGACCGCTCATGTACCAACCAAGGGAACGCTCGTTTGTGTTAACCATAAAAGGAAACTTCTACCACAGTTTCTGTGCGAAGTGCGGCTCCGTCGAGCAGGCCTACTATCGACATTCGTAGCTGCGACGACCCAAATGTTATCTTGTGGTCGAGGATCGACTAGCACAGACCGGATCTCCTAATAACGTCCAGCGTTGTAAGTTTGTTTTTGTTTCTCTGTGGCAGTACACTCTCAGTTACCTTCGTGGCAGGATTGGTTAGGCCGTCCCTGTGCTCTGGCAGCAACGGCTTCCGCGCCATCTTCTCACTGTGTGTGCGAACGTCCACGAGATGTCGACGGGTCCCGAGGACTTCGAGGATACGCCCGTCATCACACCCAACGCCGCCATGCTCGCACAGTTCGGTATCACCAGTAGTGGCGTCAAGTCCCTCATCCGCCTCGCCCTGGATGTGAAAATTGCTAGGAGACAGACGCGCTGGAATTCCTCGGTGGGCTGTTCTGAATCTAGCGCAGACCAGCCTCCTTTTTGCACGCGTGCACTTGCCCTTGTCCTGCTGACGCTTCCCACCCTTCCTCCCTGTCGTCCGTTCGTCGCCGTCGCCGCGGCCGTCGCCGCCGGGGGCCGCCGCCCAGGCCACCGAAGGGCCCCGAGGGCCGCCGAAGGTCCGAAGGCACCGCCGACGGCACCGCCGACGGCACCGCCGAGGGGTACCGCCGAGGGGTACCGCCGAGGGGCACCGCCGACGGCCGACCGGAGGCACCGCCGAGGGCTCTCCGAGGCCCCCCCCCTGGAAGGAGCTGGCGGCATGCCGCGCACGGCTGGCCGAGGGCGGCGCGGAGGTGCCCGCGTCGGGCTTCGGCTGCCGGCCCGAGGACCACGCGGACGTCCTGGAGGCCCCCAGGGAGGGGTCGGAACTCGGATCTGCCGACGCGCTTTGACGAGCGCGCTCTGGCTTTCGGCGGTCCCAGTTGTGGTGGGATGTGTGCAGAGGGAGCTCGCGTCATACTTCAGACTGGGTCTCGTCATTTTACCGACGGCTCCGCCTGGCCAACCCGCGTCCCCCGTACCCGAGTCTTACGTCTCCCCGGCCCGAAACGGTGTAGTGAAACACCGCGTGGTGAGTCAGTGGGGATTCGGGGTCACCGCGCGGTCTTGCAAAGGTTCGGGCGCTTTCGTTGGCTCTCGTTCGTGTTCGTTCCTTCTTCCGGGTTTTCACCTCGGGATGCGTTTCAGCAGCTGCGCCTCGCCGGGAGCGTTCCTGGGATGCCGGGATCGCCCAGACGGCTGCCAGGCACCTGAGTTTTGGCTCCGAAACCAAACATGCGGAGGAGGGCCGGTGTGGTGGGTCAGTGGGGATTCGAGGCCACCGTTCGGTTTTGGGACTCGGGTCGTTCTCCGAGGACGTCTTGGGCGACCAGGGCCTCCGAGGTTTCAAGACTGTGCGATGACGGACTGGGCGGTGAGGTCCTTGGGGATTCCCCAAGGTCGCCTCGCGGTCCGTCACCACACGGTTCTGGGGCCCCGAAGGTGGGTTACTTCAAAACTCCAGAATTCACAGGAGGGAGAGGCACCGATGCCGCTGCTCCTCCTGCAGAGCCCTCGACGCCACGGCCAGAGTCCTCTCGGCATCCGGGTCCGGGGGCACCCCGGGAGAGGTCCGGGGTGTCGCAGCATCGGCATCTTCGCAATCTCCCAGAAAGCGTGCGGTGACCACCCCTCAGATCTTGGCATTGCATTTGTTTTCGCATTGGGCGTGTTCACGATGTTCCGAGCCACGGGCCCCTCACGGATCAATCCGGCTCAAAAGATACGGCATATGCATTGGGTCTAGGCTTCTGGTCGAGTGTTGCATGTATTTTTTTGTGTGTGTGACGTCGGAATTCATGGATAGCGTCAGGTGAGTCAATTGGGATGCGGGGTAGTCGCACGGTTTTGTGGCTTGGGTCGTTCTCCGAGGACGTCTCGGGGCGGCCACCAGGGGCTCCAGTGTCCCCAATCACGGTGCGGTCGCGGGCCGTGCGGTGAGGTCAGTTTGGATTTTCGAGGCCACCGCCTGGTCTGTCACCAGATTGTCTTGGGGCTCCCAGGCTGCGGGCAGATTGATTTTCTTGCATCCCTGCGTTTTCATTCAGTTCTGGTCCCCTGGGGCGGCGTTTCCGTGGTCATCAGGAAAGGATCCGGGACGGAACGCTGCCTCCCGGGGCAGGGGCTCGAGACCACCTCGTGGCCCGCGGATTGAAAACATTGATCCGTCGCAAGTGTGGGACGCGAGCAGGGCGGGAAGAACGGGGGAGGGTAATCGATGAATGATGATAATGGTGTTGATGCTGCTGATGATGGTGATGATGTTGTTGTTGATGATGATGGTGAAGATGGAGATAACGATGGAGATGACTATGATAATAAAACTGCTCGTATCACAATGAAAAATAAGAAGTATTAATAGTACAAGTAATGATGCTAATCATGGCCGTGGTGATCATAACGATGATTGTGATGGTGATGGCGATGGGGATGGTGATGGTGATGGTGATGGTGATGGTGATGGTGGTGATGATTGATAAAGATGCGGACGCTGATTACGATGATGGTGATGTTGATGGTGCTGATGATGATGCTGCTGCTGGTTATTATGATGCTGGTTATGGTGATGATGATGATGATGTTGTTGTTGATACTGTTGCTGCTGATTATGATGGTGATGCTGTTGCTGATGATGCTGATGCTGATGATGATGATACTGATGGCGACGACGATGTTGATGGTGATGATGATGCTGCTGATGATGCTGCTGATGCGGATGCTGATGCTGCTGCTGCTGCTGCTTCTGATGCTGCTGCTGATCATGATGATGATGATGATGATGATGATGATGATGATGATGATGATGATGATGAGCAGGAGGAGGAGGAGGAGGAGGAGGAGGAGGAGGGAGATGAGGAGGAGGAGGATGTTAAAGAGGATGAGGATAACGAGGAGGAGAGTGAGGTGCCTGATGCTACTAGAGCGCCCAGCAGCATGCCGCATTTAAGGAGGAGGTGGTGGAGGATTGAGAGGAGGAGCATGAGGAGGCACGTGAGAGCATGGGGAGGCACATGAGGAGGAGGAGGCTCAAACCATTTGGACTCAAGCCGCGGTGCCGTGTCTTCATGGATGCGTTTGCTAGACAACGGTTGAGGATCTCAAGACGGCGGTATTTCTCTCGAAGCGTCGATCAAGAATTGCGGCCTGACAAAACAATGGAGCGCAGCACTGCCGTTGGCAATGGCTACGCGTTGTCAGTGCTCAGTGAGATGTGCGAGGCGAAGCTGGAGCCCAACGTCATCTCTCCTACAATCCCAGGAACAGTGCGTGCGAGAAGGCTGTCTGGACAGAACGGCTTCGGCGACTCCGAGCCGCTGAAGATGGCGCCCCGACCGGGTGGTTTTCAAAATGTAGCTCTCACCTTGGCGCCGCGCGCATTCGTTCTAGGCACACTCCTTTTGGAAAAAATACAAGAGTTGCACGGATTGAGGACGGGTGGATTCAAAATGCGGCTCTCGCGTGAGCGCCGCGCGCATTCGTCTCAAACATCTGCAAGAGTTTCACGATTTCGAACGGTTGTCGCACCAGAAACGGGGCTAGGGAACGATTCAGGATTGCCAGGGTGCAACGGTTACGCTGATTCGCGGTGGGCCATGGCCATGCCCGTGGGGATGGGGGTCGGTGAAGCGATGCCCACGCTTCCCCCGACGGCAGCATCCGCGCCTGCCTTCCTCAGCGCCGCCGCTCCCACCCCGTCGCCCCGAGGGCCACCACGCGGCAGCCGCGCCGGAGGCGGGCGGCACGGCCGGGGCCACCGAGGAAGCGCCTCGCCCAAGTCTTGGGGGGGGCGGGTCCAGACATGCTCGCGTCGTCAAGCAACAACAGAAACACGACGGGAAGTTTGAGGTCTTATTCGGTCTCGGGGGGGGCCCTTGCCAGGCCCCGGGACCGACATAAAACCATAGTTTTTCATCCTGAGTCGACTCTTAATGAAAACCGGCCCTGGGGAAAGGGTCGGGACTTCCAGGGACCACGCAGAGATCAAAGTCAGGACGTCGCATGTCTGGGGGTGGAGGAGGGGGGGGGAACAGGAAGCCCTCCCTGCTCCTCCCTCCCTCCTCCCTCCCCATCCCCTCCCCCCTCCCTGCTCTCGTCTGGTTCCCCTTCCCCCCCTGCCTCCCGCCTCCCCCCCCGTCCCCTCCTCCCTTCTCCCCTTCGACGGGGGAGGGGGAAAGGGGAGTTTCAGCACGAAGGTTTGGACCCACTCTGACTGGACTGAGAGAGATGAGATGGCAGGTCCTTGTTCCAGCCAGCTCTGGTGTTCCCTCAACACATGTCTGATACATGTGTGTATATGCACCTGCCCCTGGCGTAGTGCACGCGAGGGGAGCAAGAGAAACACAGCTCAACCTAAATCGGGTTGCAATCTGGACATCGAGTGGTACGAATGCTGGGAGATCAAAGCTCAAGCACGCGAGGAAAGAAGGCGAGGCATGAGAAAGAGAGAGGAGTCAAATCGTGGTAGCCGAAAGCCGCGGGAGGGGCGTGCTTGAGCAGGCATTTGCAGCAATACATACTTTGCTCCCACCTTGCTGCCCCACCGTGATCGCCGAAAACTACGTACCATTCACGAGATGATTTGACCATTTCAGCACGAAGTTGGGGTGGACTTAGAGAGCTGATATGGCAGGTCCTTGTTCCTGTCAGCCCTGGTGCTCCCTTAACACTTCTGATAGATGTGTGTGTATGCGCCTGCCCCTTGCGTAGTGCACGCGAGGGGATCAAGTCAAAAACAGCTAAACTTACACCTGCTTGCAATCTGGACTTTGACTGGTACGAAGGCTGGACTATGGAAGCTCAAGTGCGCTCACCACCTTCCGCACCCGCGAGTGGCCTTACGGCCAGACTGTTTTCTGGGGCCGACCCCACCGGCCCTGTTGTGTTGTCGCCCGCATTCGCTCCGCAGTCCACAGAAAGCTGCGCCAGCTTAGTCGGTGCAAAGAGCGGAGGCCCGTGAGAGCACGCATCACCCACAGCCTGGTGCGCCGAAGAAGCCTCCAAGAAAAGCCTGAAGGGGGGGGAGTGGAGCCACAAATACCTCGGGGCCGAGGTCGAGATCGAGCTCTGGGAATCCTGGGAACGTCTGAAGGCCAGCTGCTGAAGACGATTGGTCATGCCAGGGGTCTCGGCGGACTCGTTGATGCCGAGGATTCCCCAAAGAGGGTTGGCGGCGGACTCCAAAACTTACAATCTGATAAAGCTGCGCAAGAAAACGGTGATATGTGAATTCGCCTCGAGTGCGGCTGGGCGAACAAAGAACAGCAAGCGCTCGAGCTCAGTCAAAGCTTTCTGCTCCAAACCCATCGTGTGCTGCAACTCTGGCTTGGCCAGGAAGTCCGCCCAGATGTCCTCGCCTTCGACGAAGCCCGTCCTGAAGCGCCTACGATGTCTACGTCCAGTAGATCCACCCCCCGCCAAGCCGCCTCGATCATCCCGATGGAGCCGTCGGTCACTGCTGACACGAACTTGGCGGCGCTGGTGCTGACGTTAGCCCCTACCTTCACGATTTTGCCTGCGGCCGAGCCCACCTCTTGGGCCACGTCAGTCATCACGACTAGGCCCCTACCGGTGTGGGGGAAGAGCGTTGATGGCAGGAGGCTGAGGAGCATCCCGCCTAGGAGCATCTTGACCAGCAAACCTCCAGACGGCAGTCACTGCAGCCATGCCAGACTCACGCCGATCTTCCCTCCTGGCGACGTTGCAGCCTTGCGTCCCCGGAGAGCTTCGGCCTTGGCGGCCGCGGCGTGAGGACGGGCTGCTGCGGCTGCTCGTGCCACAGCGGCACTGACGGCACTGCTCGGGGGCGGCCCCTCCCCATCCCACCCATAGCTGGCGGGGTCGCTGCCCGTGGCGCCTGCATCGGGGAGACACGCGGGTGCGACGGTGGGGCCGCCGGGCTCGGCACGAAGTCCCAGCCCGCCTCGGTCTCCCAGCCGACTTTGCGAGCGCCGCTCTTGCCGCGGTGGCCGCGCCCTTGCGGTGCGGGAGCGTTGCCCCGCTCCGCGCGTCGACCGCCTCCATCGAAAGTAGCCCGAAGCTCAGGGTACCAGTGATGGGCCACCCAGCCCAGGGCGAGCTGAACGCCTGCTGTGCGCAAAACCGTGCTTAACTGAGACGCTTGGACCAAGTCAACGTAGAAGCGAAGCGAGCCGTTTACGCTCCACCTCCTCGTCTCCCTGATGGTCTCGAAAGGGACTCCCAGGGCTGCCGATTCCGAAGCGAAACCTGCACGACGACTGTGGGACACCCAGCCGACGTCCAAGTGGTGCGCGGCACGCACGTCTCTGATGAGGCGACGGTGCTGGGCCAGGGACCTGGGGAAAGGACGGGCACCTGATGGAGTGGTACGGGGGAGCAACTTGGGGCCCTCGGCGGGGTCCCGTTCTTCCTCCTCCTGGAGTGGCACGGACTGCGGGCGCTTGGTTTTTGTCATGGCCCTGATCCCCCAAACCAATCACGACAGGTCCCGAGCCCCTCGGATAGCCCCAGTCTTCCGGAAGTGGGATGTCATCCGACTCCACACCGAGCATCTCACTGGGCCGCATCCCGAAACGTGCCCTGGAGTACGGTACCGAAACCCAGACGTGCTTCGCCTCTGGTACATCCAGTCACACACACATTACTGATCATGGGGACGGTGTGGCGAGGCTGGTGCTCGTAGTCCCAGCCCTTGAGGGCCGCCTTCACATGGCACATCTTCCCCTTCATACGCGGGAGCCGGAACTCGATCGCAGCATCGAGCAGGGTGAATGTGGTTTTTGTCTGGATCCCCCTTGCCAACTGAAGCCGAGCCATTGAACCTCTTGAAATACATGATAGCGTCATCCCATTCGTCGGGGGTGAAAGACTCCACCCCCTCCCTAGCACACCACAAGACAAGAGCGGTCACCGCCTCCTTGTACTTGGCGACGTTGGTGGCTGGATCGGTCAAGTCTGGACGATCCGAAGCTTCTCTACCTGGTCGATCGGGTCCCCCAGCTGCCCCCCCTGCCATGTCCTACTTCTGGAGACCCAGTCGGCGGGCACGCGCCACGTTTCTATCTGGGGCAGTAGTAGACGTATCTCCGCAGCAGCACAGAGAGCACATTGCCGGCGGAGGAGGTTGTTAAGGGGCCCCGCGGACGACCGCCCCTTGGCAATGGCATACGGGCACCGCATATCATCCTCCCTGGAGATGGTCTTGGATCGGAAGAAACCCTCGACCTGGGCAACCATCTCCAACAACACGACGACCGCCCTCATCTCCCCGACGGTGATATGCTCCTCCCACCACCACCCTCCTTCAGCTATCGGGACCCAGGACCTGGTCACATTCCAGATCTCCTTCGGGATGGCGTTGACCGGCAGGGTGGGGACCAGGGACCTGGACGCCCTGTCGAGGATCTTCCTGTCCTGGCAGCCCAACGTGGGGGGCGATGGTGCCGTTCCCGACGTGGCCGTGCCCGCGCAGCAACTGAATCACGGTCGGGCCAAGCTCGTCCCTTTGCTCCATCGCGGCCACGTAGGTCCAGAACTTGGCGCCCCAGTGCGAGCCCACGGTAGCTTTCCCGCTGAAGGCGGTCAGGGCCGTCTAGACGCCCAGGGCGCCACGGCTAGCTGTGATGCTGGTGGTCATGTGCCGATGCTGGGGTCCTGGGTCTCCGGGTCCCACTCCCGCCCGGCCAGCGAGGTCAGCCAGCGCGGAGATATCTTGCCGGTGCGTGGCCCCCGCCCGCTCTGCTTCCTGAGGGTGGACAGGGAGCTGTCCCACGTCCTGGGATCCCGAAGGGCGGAGCATTGTGAGCAGCAGCGTCGTCGTTATGTGCAGCGTCGTCCGTCCTCGAAGCACGTATCGCCTCCGCCATGGCGGCGAGCTCGGCACGTAGGGCCTCCACCTCCGAGCTCGCAGGGGTTCGGGCTCGGGCGGCGCGGGCAGTGCCCCCAGAACGCGCAACTGAGGGCCGAGGCGCCAGCGACTGACCCCACAGCCAGCCCCAGCAATGCGTTGCGCCACGTCTCGGCCGCTCGTCCGGCCTGGAAGCCCACCGCACGCATGTTGCTGAAGGTGCCGAACGCCCGCCATCGCCAGGCAGACCTGCCTGGGGGCGCGGGCTCTGGGGAAGGAGGAGACACCTGAGTAGAGAGTCGAGGGTGGGCAAGATAGTCAATCCCCGCGTGCTTGCGCAGGCATGTGCGACAACACATGTCGTGCTCTCACCCTGCTGCCCCACCGTGCTCTCCGAAAGCTTCCAGTCACGAGCTCGTTAGACCAGGCGGGGAGGGGGAGGGGCAGGGGAGGGTGAGGGGGAGGGAGGCGTAGAGGAGGGGGAGAGGATGGAGGGGGGGAGGGGGGGAGGAGGAGGGAAGGAGGGGGAAGGGGGAGGAATCGTGTGAGAGGGGGGACAGGGAGGGAAACGGGGAGGAGGGGACGAGGGAAGGACACCCCGATGCCTCCAGCGGCCGGTCGGTCGCGCTCGGTCACGCTTGGGCTGGTGAGTTGCTCGCGATTGTCGGGTCAAAGAGGGCCCCGAGGCGGCTCAACAAAAACGAGACAAGGACCAGAGTCGGACGGGGCTGGGGCGAGGATACAATGGGGGCCCGTGCCAAGAAACACCCTGCTTGCCTCCAGGGTGCCCTGGGTTTCTTGGGTTTCGACGGTCTTGCTGTGGAAGGCGTGACTTTCCCACGCCAGAAATCCATGGACGTCCTGGGGTCTCAGTATTTGGTTTCTTGTGTGAAGGTCTCTTGTGGTGGGGCCCCTACTGCACATCCGTCCCAGA